TGGATTCAGAGGAGAAACTCAGCCCTCCCCACTCAGCTGCATATAGGCTACACGTGCTAGAGGGAGCAAAGGGGCCTTTTCTTTTGTGAATGGTGCCTTACATACAATGGGAATGAGATGTTGCTGACTATAGTAGATATAGAGAAGTGGTCCATTTCCTAAGCACAAATCTAGACACTTTAATTATGCTTTTTTTCTTTTTAAAGGAAAAATTTGACTCAAAGTTTCAGGTACGGTTTTTGTTTTTATTAGCCAGTGGTGAAGGCTGTATATTAGCTCAGGGTCATTAAAGGGAGCAGGAACACAAACATACAGATCTCAAAAAAAATATAGAGTTGAATCAAAGATAAGATACAGCCCTAGTATCCATTTCCCCCTACAGTCTATATATGTAATGACAAGAAGATGACTACATACCAAAAGCCAGTTAGCTGGTTTAACATTATATACTTCAACAGAATAGTTTAGATACCTTTGTTATATTATAAGAAGTATTTGCATTGAAGTGTTGAATCAAAACTATTTTAAAGCCAAGTTCTGCAAAGGGAGGGCTGAACATGTTTGACTTTGTTGGGAGTTCAAGCAACTAAGGAACTCAAAATCTTCATGTAAAAGCAGAGGAAATCCTTGAGAGTTAGCTATGTTAGTTTTCTTTTTCCTTTCATTAAAAAAGATGACCAAACTAAAATTACCAAGAGTTTCTACTGCATTTGATCTTTATAAACATTAATCATCCTTGAGTAAGTATTACTATCTCTATTTTACAGAAGGGGACAGTGTGAGAGAATGAAAAGTTATCAGCTTAACAAAATCAGCGTGAAAGCTGGGGTTAGAATTCAGAAGTCCTGATATCCAGTTCAAAGATCATGCCTTTCCTTGATTTAAAGACCCTGTAACTGCTATCATAAAAAGGAGGTGTTTCAAATCTCAGGCAGATGAAAATTCTGAAGCCATAACCCTTTATTATTTTTCTTAAGATGACAAACAAGCTTGCAAATAAGCAACTGACACATCTCTAAATAGCAGGGCAGGTTGGTGCTGCCATTTATACATGTAAAAAGTTCATAGGTGAATTGAATGCAAATTATTAATGACAAGAGAGTATAAATTGAAGAGGGTCCATCCTAAAGCTAAAACCAAAATGGGATATAATTGAACTGGTATGAAGGAAAATTACCCTCACGTTAGGGAAAACTGAACTTCAGTCTTAAAGTGTTTCTAAGTCCGTGTGGTCAAGGTGGTATTTCTCCCTTGCTACCCTACTTATTGCACGTATTCAACCAGCAGTCTTTCAAGGAGGAAATTAAAATGGCTTTCCTTTATTACCACTGGCTGACTTGCTGCTTGACAAGCCTCCAACACAATCACAGGAATCAACTTTGGTGGTATGCTCACAAAAAATGCTGAAACTTCAGTCTCTATATTGCTGGCATATAATGAGGTTCCTTTCAGAGCCCCAGGCTGCAGAAACAAGGGAGAGAGAAAACATGTGTGCTCATGTTGCAGAGGAGTAAGAAAGTCTCCATCCAAATTAGAACTGTAGACACTACCAGCCAGCAAAGAGGAAAAAGTTGACCAGAGGGCCTAAAAAGAAAAATGTCTTCAATTCCAGGATCAGTACTATCCCTGTTGTTTTTATAAAAGTAGGGGTTTCCAGCCAAGCTGTGAACTGGAGCTATCCTAGAGATACCATGCAACTACAGGGGAAGAACCACACCTATTGCTGGTGATGCCTCAATTTTGGACTGTGGTGAAAGAGGAAGAGAAGCTTGTGTCAGGATCGCAGAGCTCTTGGGCAACGAGCCTGGGCTATAGACTTCCCCTAGCTGGGACCAGTGAAACATTAGCCAGGTAAGATGATTTCATGCCTGTGCCTGGGGTAACTGTAAGATTGATTGCCCTGTGGAACTGTCTACTGAGACAAAAAACACAGGTATTCAGGACTGCACCTGGCAGCAGGCACTCTAGCTGGCAACTTTCAGGCCTGTGGCAGCTGTTCCACATCCATCTACATATCCTGCCCATTCTGACTTCAGTCCTGTTCCTGTTTGCTATCACCTTTGCTATCCTGTTTGCTGCAGCCTTACTCCCTGGCCTTCTGTCCTGGCTGCTGACCCTCAGCATCATGGTTCTGCTCCTTGGCTCCTGATCTCCAGTTCATATCTTGGTTGCAGACCTTGGCCCCTAACCATTGAGCAGAAGCACTCACACCAGTGGCCCTGCAGGTTGGCTCCATAGAATACAGACTCTCCAGTCAGCACAAAGACTGTGGGATATTTCCTGGGCTGTGTTCCTCAGTCTCCTCTTTAGGCCATTACTTTTCCCAGATCACAGCAATAAAACACGCTCCAGCAGGGAGC